TTGTTGGTAACTGGCCAGTGCACAAAGGGTATCTACCTATCCTTTTTCATGACACACGGTACATTTCCACTCCACGCATGCTGTTCGAAGATGAAGATACGCACCGCAGGATGGCATTGTTTAATTCGATGTTCTAATGAATTCCGCAACTAAACAATTGCGCTGACTGACATGTACCAATCGATAATGCCCATAGGCCAAATATCCTAAATCTCAGGGCACGTTACCCTGGTTGACTTTGGGAAAATCCGAACCCACTGCTCTTTTGTAGTAAACCAGTAATGTAATGGTGGATAGATATAAATAAGCCCTTAGTATCTATCCCTCGGTGTTGCTCGAATCTAGATGGTATCTGGGCTAGGGCTCGAACCGGAAACATTCGGGATTAAGGTGGGATACTGCCTTTGATCCAGAGATTTTTTCGAGTAATGTTTGAGAGAACAGGAAACTGCAACTTTGTCATTTTGTTTTGCAAGCTTCTATGCACAAAAATCGTCAACAAGTTTCTTGTCATTTTTCATCGGGATCCTGGAAAAGCCATTGAACAAATAACATGTAGTTGCTGTTGGTCATATGGGAACTGGTCCTCAAAAGCTGCATCATCGCTCTCCCGCACCTCCTCTCCGCCCATTTTGGATTTGGAATCTTCAGGAGTAGAATGTTCAATCGACTCTATCTCTACAACGATGGATTTTCGTATTTCCTGGGAAAGGAAAAACTGCCCCACGTCTCAAGTGAGAAGGACCTGCGCATCATCACTACAGAAAATGTAAGCTGTTCACTCAACTGCACCAAGGTGTACAATGCAGCTGTGAAAAATGTCGGTTTGCCTAAGCGGATCCTTGGCCGGTTTGAATCAGCGCTTTTCCCCCGTCTACTAACAGCATACAATCGCCCACTCACATAGTACACCAACCAGGCACGGAATCCATGGCTGCAACGTAATTGCAAAATGCTGGAGCGTCCACAAAGGATGGCCACCAAAATGATCAGGAGGTTGAATCGGTGTTCATACGCAGAGAGAGAGTGAAGTCGCTGGGGTTATATTCCAATCACTACCGGTGCATCAGAGAAGATATGATTATGGTATACCAAATAATTTAAAATCCAAGTCATTCGTCTCACCCGCTTCTGAAATTGTCACGCAACGTTCATCGTAGAGGACATGCATTCAAACGAGTGGTCTCAAAATGCTGCTTGGAATGCCGGCGTCAGTCATTTGCAGTCAGAGTTTGTTCGGTCTAGAACTCTCTCCCACACCACGTCGTCCAGCACTGAATCAGTGAAACTGAGACTTGATAAAACATTGGCACACCTTACATTTCAACACCAGTGAAGCTACGTGTAGCAGTGGAAGAAGCGCGCCGTATCATATGACAGGAATTGTATGTATCACTGTCTTTTGACCACAACACGAACTTATTGGACCAGAAAACCATGTGCTCATAAGTTATTCTCATAATAACTCTTTGATCTTTGACTAGATTACATGGACGGCTTTTTATCTTTTTAAGGAGGTTATGCCACGCACATTTACCTCACTGCACTTTTCGTGTTATTGTCTGGGATAACAGATTGGAAGTACTTGTTGTTGCACTGAGACCACCTGGTCTGTGTGAAACGCATACGGCCTGAAAAGACGTGAACCTAAAAATAAATAGATAAACGTCCAGGTTCGAATACCACCCAATAGAGACCACCGATTATTATCCAATTTAATGTGTTACATCGATGACAGAATGCGTCTGTTCATGAGAATGATATTCATATTCACAACGCACACAACGCAAAACCAGGCCAGGTATCCCTCTAAGTACAGCTTTTAATTGTGATCCTTTGACCAGAAGGTAATCTTCCCTGCAGTTTGCGGTTTTGGCTGTTCCTCAAACACACACACATATATATATATATTTATGAGTGATTTTTGATTCCTCCGTTTATCGTCAACGGGGACAAACGCCTCTCAAAGTTGCTGGGTTTAAACTGCACCACCATCAGCAAGCTCCCTTTCGCCCTATGTTTTTCCGATACGGTCAACGCACGTAACCTGAGCCCGCACAGTAGTACTGCACCGATGAACTAGTGAAACAGGATATAACTTGACTTTCCGATTAAATATGTGTTTTGAAGAAAGGAAGCACAAAAACATTCGTCGGGAAGAAAACGGAGCTTCGGCCTCTGATCCTCATCCTGGTCGGTCTGATTGGACGTGGTCATCTATCTTACTATCAGCCATCTCACTGGGATCTTCCTTCTGGTTTCAACTTTGAATTGAATAAAGTGACTGTCCAATAGTAGGTCGTTGAACTTTGTTAAACAGCAGACCAGGACAGAGATTTAGTGTTCGTCGGGCTTCCTTGGTTAGGACACGTATTGCGCATTTCCGGCTGTCG